CTGGAGGGTGTCACGATGTGATAATCAATTTGTGAAATCCCGCTATTCTTTCCTGTCATTGCTAAGAATGACATAAAAGCATAATGTAATCTAAATCCACTTACATGCTTGAGTGTGTATTCAGTCAATATTTTATTTTTACTGTCTTCACGTTATTTCAAATAATAGATTAATATTTATCCTTTGGTGTGGTTATATTTAGAAATTAAGCTTGAAGTCTGGATAATCATACACATATAGTTCTTGACAATGTTTTAAGCCCCTGACTTCAAAAAAAGGTAAAAAAAAACCTGCACGGTTGTATCACTGTCAGCCCTGTAGAGCGGCTGATAAGCAAAGTTGTACTGTTTTATGAATTACCAAATCAATTATCAGCCGGGTTCTGAATTTTAGAAATGTTATAGCACAAGATAAATGGACAAGTCAGAAAATAACCCAGCTTGATTTTAAGCTACCAGGTGGAAGTGACAGTATGATCTGGGGGTCATCTTGTTGTGATATATGAGTGTATTCCCTTGATTTGGCAGTGGTGTTAGACATTCTCTGGAACCCTGGAGATGTCGCTGTGACAGACCTTCCTTTTCCATTCTCGGACTGCACCACACTTGTGAAACAGTGAGGTTCGTGGGGTAATAACTCAAAAGCCAAAAAGCTATAAAGAAAAAAATTTGCTAGCAGGCACTAACATGGGTATCATGACTCTTTTCAGGTAGTAGGTGTAACCTTGAAGAAAAAGTGGCACTGTCTTCAAAAAAGTGACCTGACTCTGGCTTTGGTGGGTTTTTCTGCAAGAAATAAAAAGCACCGCATGTGTTAATTATATATCCTTTCTAGCTGACCACTGCTTTGTTTCTAGAGTTCAGCATGAAAGGACTAATTTTTGTTTTGTTTTGTTTTTGTTTTAGTGAAATGGCATGTCCCGTTGCTAATTCTAGCTATTATAGTTGCACATGTGAAAAATATCTATATGTAGTTTATGGATTGGTAGCATTTCAAATAAATAGTATATTGAAATATTGACCTGAAAATTTTTGAGATGCTTATCAATTGACATTTTTTTCTTAGCTCAAGAAAAGAGTCTGAATTATTATTTTTTTTAAAAAATTATACCTTGTAACATTAGATTTGTTCTATTAAGTATATTAGGAATTTAAATGTAAGCATGCCACTTCGTTTATTGCTATACTATTAGAACTTCTTGGAGCATGGAAAGAGTTCTTCACAAATGATTCTGCTCTTTTGAAAAAAATAAACTGCAAAAATATTTGTTAAACTATATTTAGTCTGCAAATGAGGGTAGCTTATAAAAGTATACTAAGCTTATAGTATATAATGTTTCATCCAAATAATCTTTATATTTTGAAAAAACATAAAATAGCTTAACAGTGCCATAATAAATCTTTTCCCAGAATTCAGAATTGTATGAATCTCTATTTTATGAAGTTCACATTGCATCATTAAAGAAAAAACCTGGGATCATTACGCACAACAATTTTTTAATGCAATAAATCATTGTTTCCCTTTATTCTTCCAGAAGTCAGTTATTCTAAGGATTGTGGCCATCTAAACTTTTCAGAACATATATGATAATTACAACTGTTATATCTGATGAATAAAATCTCTACTAGTTGATATTCCATCATGGAAAGAACACATTATCATTCAATAATGCTAGTTCTTAAGTCAAAACAAACCAAAGAAATTTGCAGCATTATAAAGAGATTCACACATTTTTAAAACCTAGTTACTACACAGAAAGTTTTTCTTTGCTCTCATAAATAAAAGTTGCCACTCATTACATTTTAGAAAGGCAATGCCTGAGAAAATGCATAATGTTTTTGTTCCTAGAGTAAACCTACCTTCTAAATACTTAAAGCCCTGTGCAAGCCCATGATAATAATATAGTTCTATCCTTTTTAGTTGCATAGAAACTATCAAGGTTTGTTAACCTCTGGAGTTAATATTCACCCTAGCTCTTAATTTCCTTTCAGACAACAGACCCCCATATGTCCATTTTTGTTTCTTTGCCTATGATATTTCTGTATGCTACATTTGTATTTTAAGTAGATTTACAACACAGGTATTCATATGTGCTCTTAGTATAAAAATATTTTCTCCAGGGAGCCTCTGCTCAGAGATCTAAGAAAACGGAAGATTTTTTTGTTTTTAAAGTGTTTAAAGATTATTTAATTTTTACATAGTATAAGATGTTTCTAATTGGGTTGGGAAGGTGATATTTTGTTTTATTTTTTCCATTATGCCATATCTACTCTCAAAAACTTAATAATCTGTTCAACCAAAAATATAGAAACCAGAATGCCCTTTATAGCCCACAATTCTGCTTGTATGACATGAAAAATGTAGGGAGATATAGATATATATATCTATATTTATATCTATATCTATCGGTGCCTCAGTTATTAATCATCCTTTATTTACATCTGGATTTACGGGATTTTCCAATTAAAAGATATTCTAAAATTCTATTGAAATTCTTTGGTCTCAAAAGCACTGAGAGTTACAAGTTTTTTCATACCATCTCCACAAAATAAATAAGTTGGGTGAATTCCTATGATGTTAAGCCACTGAAAAATTTTTAGAGGTTTTATGATACTTTTATTCTTTTTATGCCCAGTCCCCTCAAAAATGACAGACTCCAGAGACCACCCACCAAGCCCTCTGTGGCAGTCAGACCCTGATCCTAATCCCTGTCCGAGACTCCTCACCATTATTCAAAACTTTTAGGGATTATACAGGGATAATTTATAAATGAACGTAACAGGCAATCCATGTTTTTAAATCGATACTACAAAAATTATGTTCATGTCATGTAAATTGCCTTAAAATATATTATACATATAAAATACTATGTTAAAATTAAATATAATACGTCAGCTGTAAAGGTGACAAAGTAGCTAACTAAAAGTTCACAAATAATCTTTTTACAGATTTTGTGTGTTTTCTCCTCAGCCAAAAGCCTCAAGATTCACTTGCAGCAGCCTACCTCTTCATTTATGTTGGATTGCTCTTTAAACATTAGAATATCTTGTAATAAATCATAAGTTAAAGATTTCTCCTGATACAAGTCATTGTTGATTTCACTGTTATAGGGAAAAGGCTCTAGGGCGGCAGATAAGGCTGTTGCCATGGTGATGAAGGAGATACCGAGGGAGGAGTCTGCTGAAGAAAAGCCCCTCCTTACTATGACATCACAGGTGGGCAGACCCATAGGGTTCCTGTAGGAAGCTGACATATGTTAATATATCAGACATTGTGATTTATAACTAGAAAAAAAAAAACATTAACTTGAATCAATTTTTTTAAAAACACAGTTTCAATGAAAAAGAATTATATAATATAAACTGAAAAACCAAAATTGCTAAAAAAAAAGAAAATTCCATCGTTTAGTTATTTGTGGATATTAATTCTCATTACTTAACTTTAGTTAAAAAAGAAAATATACATACAAGTAAAACATATTGCTTGTTTATAAAGGAGTCTTGTTAACAACTTTGGGAAAGAAAGAACAAGTTAATGATACATTTGAAGAACAACAACCGAAAAAATCAAATTCCTATGAATAAATACAAGTTATATCATATACATATGTCAGTTTACCAGTAGGATATCTAAATTTTCTTAAATGTTAAATATATTTATGTTGTGACTATGCATACTACATATATGTCTACGCATATTTATGTGGATAGCTCATTTACAGGAATGAGCCAGAAGTCTCTGAGTCCCCCTGCAGAAAATGGCATCTGTGACCCCTCTCATACCTCGTGACCTTGACCACAAAAATATCATCTATATTATAAGCACAGGAGGGCCATTTTCAGCATTTATTATAACAAGTGTAGAAAAAAGTTTGCATTCATATGCAAAGACATGCTGAGACTGTGAATCCTGTGTGTCCTCAGGGACTTTTGAAACACCCTGTAAAATCCACATAAATATGTATAATATACTCATCACCACTCTGTGGAACTATCAGCTTTAAATTCTTAAATGAAAACTATTTTTACTTTCATTTATCTTATAATTTAGATAGATTGTTATCTTAAACATTTCTTTGTTTCCATAATGCAATAGTAAATGCAGCGATTCAGTTCCAATTATATGAAAATGTCTAGAATTAGAAAAATGTCCATTTACAGTCTTCATGAAAGGCATTTATATCAAAAGCTAATTACGGCAACTTATTTTTAGAATATCATCAGATCACATCCCCAGCTGCTGCCAACATGTGTGGTTTTATTTTATTCTAAACACTATGTTGTAAGTAATGAAAATTATAACAGCATATAACATCAAAATTGAATATTAAAAAAAAAGAGTTACTAAGGATTCCCAGGACTTTGGGATAAATTTCATGTCGTGAGTTTTTTTTATCCATAAAGAAGAGATGCTTCTTCCCAATGACACATAGCAGTAGTTGGAAAGAAATTTGCTTGAGATTTACCAAGGTCTCCATTTTTTACATACACAGTTTTACACTGATCTGTTGCCCTTGATAGAATCCATGTCCAAATATTCAATCTGTAGTTTCTGGGTGAATGCTGAGGGAAGTGAGAGCTCCTTAAAATTCTTGGCTAAGGACAGAGCCCCATACATCAGCAGTTAAGACCTATCCAGGTTTGCGATTGGCATAGTTGTGCTACAACCTATCATTTCAGGGCATTACAATTTAGAACAGGCTCTAGTCTCCAAAATTCTTTTTCCCCAAAACCATGCCTTGCTATGTGCTTCCCAGT